GACGAGAATCCGCTGCTCGGACCGCGAGGGACAAAATCAGGTGCACAGCTTGTCCATAACCAACCGGTACGGCTGCGAGGAGGTGACGCACAACGCCAGGGCGGAGAGCCGGGACGACCTGCGTCGTTGGATGGAGGCCTTCTGGCAGCACTTCTATGACATGAGTACGTAGGCGGGATGCGCTGTACAGTGATTGTACTTTACCGTTCCTCCCTTTTACAGGCGGTCAGCACCGTGCCGAGCATGACCAACCTATCTCTGTGCCGATTGTCCCCAGGTCAGTGGAAGCAGTGCTGCGATGACCTCATGAAGATCGAGACACCTCCGCCCAAGAGAACCACCCGCGCTGTGGCCAAGCAGGGGTCCCTCTATCACGAAATGGGTAAGCAGCAAAGTCTTCTGGCTCCTCCTCCTCCTCGGTTGGGAATGATGGGTGAGGCATTATGGAGTAGAAAGTCGGGTGGAGAACCATCACATACGGACAGTTCAGGACTTCATCCAACACCTTCCACTCTACAGCTAAAATCTGAGGATACCCCGTGATGGTCCCTCTGACATCGTCCTCCTAGACCTCCCTAAGGTGCCCACACAGGTCCCTCCAGGGGGTAGATAGTCCGACATTCTCATAGACCTTCCTAAGGTGCCCACACAGGTCCCTCCAGGAGGTAGATAGTCCAACATTCTCATAGACCTTCCTAAGGTGCCCACACAGGTCCCTCCAGGGGGTAGATAGTCTTACATTCTCATAGACCTCCCTAAGGTGCCCACACAGGTCCATCCAGGAGGTAGATAGTCCAACATTCTCATAGACCTTCCTAAGGTGCCCACACAGGTCCATCCAGGGGGTAGATAGTCCAACATTCTCATAGACCTTCCTAAGGTGCCCACACAGGTCCCTCCAGGGTGTAGATAGTCCAACATTCTCATAGACCTCCCTAAGGTGCCCACACAGGTCCATCCAGGGTATAGATAGTCCAACATTCTCCTAGACCTTCCTAAGGTGCCCACGCAGGTCCGTCCATCCAGGGGGTAGATAGTCCGACATTCTCATAGACCTTCCTAAGGTGCCCACACAGGTCCCTCCAGGGGGTAGATAGTCCGACATTCTCATAGACCTTCCTAAGGTGCCCACACAGGTCCCTCCAGGGGGTAGATAGTCTTACATTCTCATAGACCTCCCTAAGGTGCCCACACAGGTCCATCCTGGGGGTAGATAGTCCAACATTGTCATAGACCTTCCTAAGGTGCCCACACAGGTCCCTCCAGGGGGTAGATAGTCCGACATTCTCATAGACCTCCCTAAGGTGCCCGCACAGGTCCCTCCAGGGGGTAGATAGTCCGACATTCTCATAGACCTGCCTAAGGTGCCCACACAGGTCCCCCCAGGGGGTAGATTCTCATAGACCTCCCTAAGGTGCCCGCACAGGTCCCTCCAGGGGGTAGATAGTCCGACATTCTCATAGACCTGCCTAAGGTGCCCACACAGGTCCCCCCAGGGGGTAGATTCTCATAGACCTCCCTAAGGTGCCCGCACAGGTCCCTCCAGGGGGTAGATAGTCCGACATTCTCATAGACCTGCCTAAGGTGCCCACACAGGTCCCCCCAGGGGGTAGATTCTCATAGACCTCCCTAAGGTGCCCGCACAGGTCCCTCCAGGGGGTAGATAGTCCGACATTCTCATAGACCTGCCTAAGGTGCCCACACAGGTCCCCCCAGGGGGTAGATTCTCATAGACCTCCCTAAGGTGCCCGCACAGGTCCCTCCAGGGGGTAGATAGTCCGACATTCTCATAGACCTGCCTAAGGTGCCCACACAGGTCCCCCCAGGGGGTAGATTCTCATAGACCTCCCTAAGGTGCCCGCACAGGTCCCTCCAGGGGGTAGATAGTCCGACATTCTCATAGACCTGCCTAAGGTGCCCACACAGGTCCCCCCAGGGGGTAGATTCTCATAGACCTCCCTAAGGTGCCCGCACAGGTCCCTCCAGGGGGTAGATAGTCCGACATTCTCATAGACCTGCCTAAGGTGCCCACACAGGTCCCCCCAGGGGGTAGATTCTCATAGACCTCCCTAAGGTGCCCGCACAGGTCCCTCCAGGGGGTAGATAGTCCGACATTCTCATAGACCTGCCTAAGGTGCCCACACAGGTCCCCCCAGGGGGTAGATTCTCATAGACCTCCCTAAGGTGCCCGCACAGGTCCCTCCAGGGGGTAGATAGTCCGACATTCTCATAGACCTGCCTAAGGTGCCCACACAGGTCCCCCCAGGGGGTAGATTCTCATAGACCTCCCTAAGGTGCCCGCACAGGTCCCTCCAGGGGGTAGATAGTCCGACATTCTCATAGACCTGCCTAAGGTGCCCACACAGGTCCCCCCAGGGGGTAGATTCTCATAGACCTCCCTAAGGTGCCCGCACAGGTCCCTCCAGGGGGTAGATAGTCCGACATTCTCATAGACCTGCCTAAGGTGCCCACACAGGTCCCCCCAGGGGGTAGATTCTCATAGACCTCCCTAAGGTGCCCGCACAGGTCCCTCCAGGGGGTAGATAGTCCGACATTCTCATAGACCTGCCTAAGGTGCCCACACAGGTCCCCCCAGGGGGTAGATTCTCATAGACCTCCCTAAGGTGCCCGCACAGGTCCCTCCAGGGGGTAGATAGTCCGACATTCTCATAGACCTGCCTAAGGTGCCCACACAGGTCCCCCCAGGGGGTAGATTCTCATAGACCTCCCTAAGGTGCCCGCACAGGTCCCTCCAGGGGGTAGATAGTCCGACATTCTCATAGACCTGCCTAAGGTGCCCACACAGGTCCCCCCAGGGGGTAGATTCTCATAGACCTCCCTAAGGTGCCCGCACAGGTCCCTCCAGGGGGTAGATAGTCCGACATTCTCATAGACCTTCCTAAGGTGCCCACACAGGTCCGTCCATCCTGGGGGTAGATAGTCCGACATTCTCATAGACCTTCCTAAGGTGCCCACACAGGTCCATCCAGGGGGTAGATAGTCTGACATTCTCATAGACCTCCCTAAGGTGCCCATTCAGGTCCATCCAGGGGGTAGATAGTCTGACATTCTCATAGACCTCCCTAAGGTGCCCATTCAGGTCCATCCAGGGGGTAGATAGTCTGACATTCTCATAGACCTCCCTAAGGTGCCCATTCAGGTCCATCCAGGGGGTAGATAGTCTGACATTCTCATAGACCTCCCTAAGGTGCCCATTCAGGTCCATCCAGGGGGTAGATAGTCTGACATTCTCATAGACCTCCCTAAGGTGCCCATTCAGGTCCATCCAGGGGGTAGATAGTCTGACATTCTCATAGACCTCCCTAAGGTGCCCACACAGGTCCATCCAGGCGGTAGATAGTCCAACGTTCTCATAGACCTTCCTAAGGTGCCCACACAGGTCCATCCAGGGGGTAGATAGTCTGACATTCTCATAGACCTCCCTAAGGTGCCCACACAGGTCCATCCAGGGTGTAGATAGTCCAACATTCTCATAGACCTCCCTAAGGTGCCCATACAGGTCCATCCAGGGGGTAGATAGTCCAACATTCTCATAGACCTTCCTAAGGTGCCCACACAAGTCTGTGTGACTCTAACACTCCCTGTCTCATCCATGCACTCTAATGATCTCTAACACTCTGCTATGATCTCTAACAGTCTTTAACACTCTTCTTCTCTCCTATGCTCTCTAACAGTTTCTTCTTCTCTTTCCTGTGTCTGCATGCCCCCCCTCTTCCCCTCCCCCACCTCTTCCCCTCCCCCACTTAGCTTTGTCTGCTTCGGCCATGCCCAGCACAGAGGGCCTCCTGCTGCAGGACAATGCAGTCTCTGCGGAGATCCGCTCCCTGCTCTGCACCTATTACAGTGACAGGTTTGTATCCCGGAATGCATTGTTCATATACATCGTATATCTCGTACATCACCCGCCCTCGGGCCCTGTAGACCAATCTCAGGGTCGGCTCCGTCAGCTTCTATGGTGAAGGCGAACGTTAAAGTGGAACTTCTGCTCATTGTGTTTTTCAGTTTTGGATAGAGTGGAGAAAGATGAGATTCTTATTCCCCTGACTTCCTGTTCTGCTGACACCTTGTCTTTTACCTGCACACAAAGGGTGTCACCGGGACAGGAAGTCAGGTTTGGTCTCTCTCTGTGAAGCCCATTCCATAAAGTATCTGGCTTCCTCTAGAAGCTGTAGATTGGCATTGCCGGCTAGTTTCTGAAGGAGGAAATGATGCGTTGAAGGATTTGTCCATGTGTATAGCGTGGATGTGGTCAGGGGACTTAACTAAAAAATGCAAAACAACTCTTCTCTTTTTCTGGTGCTCAATGGACCTTCTAAAGCCACCATGAGTAGTGGTAGTGTAAGGCTCTGGTCTGGACCTTCATCCAAACCTTTTGAAACTCTACAGGCCCAATATCTCTGATTCTTCCCGCTGGGTGAACTTGGGACTGCCCTACAAGATGAAGCCACCATGAGTGGATGTAGCATAAGGCTCTAGTCTGGTCCTTCATCCAAACCTTTTGAAGTTCTACAGACTCAGTATCTCCAATTCATCCCAACGGCTGACTTGGGACTGATTTCCAAGATACAGCCACCATGAGTAGTAGTGTAAGGCTCTGGTCTGGTCCTTCATCCAAACCTTTTGGAACACTTCAGGCTCAATATCTCCAATTCATCCCACCGGGTGACTCTGGACTGTTCTACAAGATGAAGCCACCATGAGTAGTGGTAGTGTAAGTGTCAGGGACCAGAGCACCTCCGGGTGGCACTGTGGAGCTGGAACCCGATCCAGCAGTTCCAGTGCTCACCTGCAGGTGTCTCCCAGCAATTAGTCACTACCTGGTGCTGATCTGGGAGGGTATTTGGCCTCTCCTTGCTTTTGAGCCTGTGCCTCAGTATTGCTGCCATTTCCTGTATCCTGTTCCTGGTCCTGCCTTGAATCCTGACCCCTGGCCCTTACCCCCAAGGTCTCCTGATCAGTGGCTCCCCTCTTGTTGTCCTGCTCCCCAGGTTTGGCCCTGTTGTGTGTATTTTGTTATTTTGTATTAGTTAGGCTCTTATATGTTACTTGTGGAGGTTGGTGGGGGGTGCTTATGGTTGTGGGGTTTTGGAGTAGCTAATAAATTCTAGTTCATAAGCATTGTGTGGTGGGGTCACGTTATTGGTTCTCCTGCATAAATACCTGCACGTGGTGTGGGGGACACCCGTGTACGGTATCGTCACAGTAAGGCTCTGGTCTGGTCCTTCATCCAAATCCTTTTTGAATCTCTACAGGCCCAATATCTCTTCTTCATCCATCTGGGTGACTTGGGACTGCTCTACAAGACACTACCACCATGAGTAGTGGTAGTGTAAGGCTCTAGTCTGGTCCTTCATCCAAACCTTTTGAAGTTCTACAGACTCAGTATCTCTGATTCATCCCTCTGGGTGACTTGGGACTGTTCTACAAGATGAAGCCACCATGAGTAGTGGTCAATGGACCTTCAATGGACCTTCTAAAGCCACCATGAGTAGTGGTAGTGTAAGGCTCTGGGCTGGTCCTTCATCCAAACCTTTTGAAACCCTACAGGCCCAATATATCTTCTTCACCGCGCTGGGTGACTTGGGACTGACCTCCAAGATGAAGCCATTGAAGGATAAAAGAGTTCCCTCTTGTACTCTCCTCATAAGACACGGTTCTGCTGGATAGACGTTCAATGCACACAAGGTTACGGGAAGCTGCTAACACTTAGTCTGTAAGCTGAAAGCTTTGATCCCACCATGACTGGAGAACACACCACCTCCCCCACCTCTCCCCACACCCACACACACATAGATCTTCATTCGAGGACATAAATAAAGAATTGAATAAAAGAGTCGGATGCCACACAACTATACGGGGGAACTTTGTGGGTGAATATGAGTGGAGATCTCTCCTTGTGGAGATAGAATTGTCCACTTGTACTTGGAAATCTTGGATTCGGTTTGACATTTGGTTGGTGGTTGTTGGGTCCGCCTTTTCTTCCAGTGTCCCAGTAAGTTCTTCGTTGCTCCATTTCCAGCCATTTGATGGTCGTTCTGGGTTCCTTTATGTTGTTTTCATCCTTTGCTATGTCACCGAAGGACTGAGCCTCAGGGGAGACATTGGAGGAAGAAGCCTCTTGAGCGTCAAGCCTGTTCTACATAGATATTTACTTCCAAGGATAAGCCACTCCCCCCAAGGCTGGATTTACTCTCTCTGCTGCCCCAAGGCCAGGCTCCTCAATACTAAACCTGCAGGCTGCATACAAGTGATCTCAGCGACATCACTTGTACAAAACAAGCGGCGGCTTCCCCAAAGCCGGGCTAAATGTAGAAAACAACTCTACCCGCCTGGTGCCCCGGAACTGCATGCCCCAGGCATCGGGAGATAGGAGTTCCACACCCCTGCCGCCCCTCTACTCCCTGCTGCCCCTCTACTCCCTGCTGCCCCGAGGCCGGGCCTTGGTTGGCCTTGTGGGAAATCCGGCCCTGACTCCCCCAATGAACTAACCCATAGAAACCAATCAGAATTCAGTGTAGAGCGGCCAATGGCAGAGTCTGGTTAACGTGCACATTAAATAAGTTGAAGAGTCCTGTCTGTAATTGTCACCGGTGACCTCATGGCTGTTGTTGGTCAGACCATGGATATGCAGGTACTGGTGGGCTCTAGTGATGGTCCTTGGTGGGAATTCTGGGTTTTGCTCCTCACATTGTCCTCTTCTTGTCTTGCAGCTATTGAGGGTCTGGGCCCGATTCCTGACCTTCTCTCCCAGCGGATGAAGGAGTTTGAGATACAGAGGGGTCTGGATCCGCCACCCTGGACATCTTTCTTCAACAGCCCCAATCCCGGACACCCTTCCTGCTCATCATCCTCCGATTGCGACAGTCCTCCGGGGCAGACCTCCAGGCCTCGTCCCCGCACCCTCTCCCTGGATGCCAAACTAACATCCCTGAAGAAGAGAGGACTGAAGATGGCTGACCAACAGTCCACGGGTCAAGAGTCCTCCAGAGGAGACGACAGTCCTCACCCGGAGGCCAGGAACTCCAGCAGCAGTGGGCGCAGCACCCCCGACTCGGAGAAGGGGTGTCAGAACCGCAAGAACATTAAGAGCCTTAAATCCAAACTGGACCCCCGCAACTGGCTGCAGAGTCAGGTGTGACCCGTCTGCTGACATGACCAGGGTGCCAGAACGGGGTGAGAGGCCAAAACCGAGTGTCCAAAGTGCACTAATGCGATGGGCTTTGGCTCTGGTTGGTATGTACCGTGGAAGCCCCATGCCCCAGACATGGAGTGACCCTCTAATTATTCACATACCAGATTGACACCCTTCATCCTCCACATAACACCGACCCACGCAGCGCTCCCCGCCCAGCTCAGGGCAACCTACAGCTGTTTCAAAGACTTAATCGCAAGATGCGGACGAGTCTTCCTTCGCACGGGAGAGCGGGACCGGAGATATTATATACAGTTATTCCGAGTCCCTCTCCATCCCACTGAAGGGGGACGAAATGCAATTTATAGTATTATTATGTGCCAACCACTGCAGGGCACCAAGGACACCCAGACTTGAAGCCCCTCCTTCTAAAAGGTGTCATGGCTACACAGAGTTTACATAAGCTTACAGCGCCTCCTACTACAGGGGGACTGATGGGAGGTATGAGGCAGGGACTAGGCTCCTCCCCATATAGGGGGACTGATGGGAGGTTTGAGACAGGGACTATGCTCCTCCCAGTGTAGGGGGACTGATGGGAGCTATGAGGCAGGGACTATGCTCCTCCCAGTGTAGGGGGACTGATGGGAGCTATGAGGCAGGGACTATGTTCCTCCCAGTGTAGGGGGACTGATGGGAGCTATGAGGCAGGGACTATGCTTTGCAGAGTCAGGTGTGACCCGTCTGCTGACATGACCAGGGTGCCAGAACGGGGTGAGAGGCCAAAACCGAGTGTCCAAAGTGCACTAATGCGATGGGCTTTGGCTCTGGTTGGTATGTACCGTGGAAGCCCCATGCCCCAGACATGGAGTGACCCTCTAATTATTCACATACCAGATTGACACCCTTCATCCTCCACATAACACCGACCCACGCAGCGCTCCCCGCCCAGCTCAGGGCAACCTACAGCTGTTTCAAAGACTTAATCGCAAGATGCGGACGAGTCTTCCTTCGCACGGGAGAGCGGGACCGGAGATATTATATACAGTTATTCCGAGTCCCTCTCCATCCCACTGAAGGGGGACGAAATGCAATTTATAGTATTATTATGTGCCAACCACTGCAGGGCACCAAGGACACCCAGACTTGAAGCCCCTCCTTCTAAAAGGTGTCATGGCTACACAGAGTTTACATAAGCTTACAGCGCCTCCTACTACAGGGGGACTGATGGGAGGTATGAGGCAGGGACTAGGCTCCTCCCCATATAGGGGGACTGATGGGAGGTTTGAGACAGGGACTATGCTCCTCCCAGTGTAGGGGGACTGATGGGAGCTATGAGGCAGGGACTATGCTCCTCCCAGTGTAGGGGGACTGATGGGAGCTATGAGGCAGGGACTATGCTCCTCACCATATAGGGGGACTGATGGGAGCTATGAGGCAGCTGCAAGACACAACATTTGCCCCTCCCACTACTGCAGGAGAACAAAGGAGGAGTATGGGGGTCTTCCCTGAGACTGCAGGGTGTCACAGACAGATGGGAGCCATAAAGGTGACCATACACTGTACAACCATCGCAAGACTTTAGTCTTGCGATGGTTGTACAGGGATTAAAAAAACGTACGATCTGCCTATCGTGGACAGGCAGATCGCAATCCCGATCATCGCAAGCCACGCCCCCCTGAGGGGCGGGCTTCCGATGACCGCAATGCTGAACGGGCAGTGTGCGCGTGCGCACACCGGCCCGTTCGGCATTTGTCTTCCGAGCACCGTTCTAACCAGCCGAGAATCGTATGAGAATCGAGCAGTGTATGGGCACCTTTAGACAGGGAATATGTCCCCCCACTGCAGGGTGACTACAGGACATGAGATCTGCCCCTTTCTCTGCGGGGTGACTACAGGACATGATCTGCCCCTTTCTCTGCAGGGTGACTACAGGACATGAGACCTGCCCCTTCCTCTACACGGGGTGACTACAGGACATGAGATCTGCCCCTCTCTGCAGGGTGACTACAGGACATGAGATCTGCCCCTTTCTCTGCGGGGTGACTACAGGACATGAGATCTGCCCCTCTCTGCAGGGTGACTACAGGACATGAGATCTGCCCCTTTCTCTGCGGGGTGACTACAGGACATGAGATCTGCCCCTCCAACTCCAGGATGATACAGACAGGAGGGAGCTACAGGATATGGGGTCTGCCCCTCCCTCTACAGGGTGACTACAGGAAATGGGGTCTGCCCCTCCCTCTACAGGGTGACTACAGGATATGGGGTCTGCCCTTCCCTCTACAGGGTGACTACAGGATATGGGGTCTGCCCCTCCCTCTAGAGGGTGACTATTGGACGTTAGTCCTGCCCCTCCCTCTACATGGTGACTACAGGATATGGGGTCTGCCCCTCCCTCTACAGGGTGACTACAGGATATGGGGTCTGCCCCTCCCTCTACAGGGTGACTACAGGATATGGGGTCTGCCCCTACTTTTGCATGGTGACACATACAGACGGACAATATGTTAGGGTGTCATCCCGCCCGCTCCTGTGTCGGCAGCCCCTCCCCCATCGGGTGTATTTGGCTCCCGGCAGTGACAGAAATAAAGCTTTATGATAATAAGCCGCCTTACCAAATAATTACTAACAGAGTATTATAATATTATATTAAATCTTTATTGCCAAGCTCCGCCTCTTCCTTCTCTGCTGTTCTCCATCCTTCTTCTAGTATGTCAGTTATTTGGCGGCGCAGGAGACGTCTTCCTCGCCCCGAGAACAGTTCTCCGGGATCGGGAGCACAGCCCTGGAGCCTCCGCCTCCAACCACTCGCTGCCCGGGGCAAGTTCTTACATTGGCACACACGATAAGAATCTGGATTTTGGGGTAAAAAAACAGCTTCAGACCCCCAACAATGACACATATTCCAAAACGAGAGGCCCGTGGAATAAAAAAAAGATGCTACTACCGATATTTATTTTTTGGTACTCGCCGATACCGAGTACCGATACCGGAAGTCCCCATCAAGGAAGCCGGGCAGCGAGTGATGACGTGTAATTAGCCCGGGAAGCCATCTCCGTGCTCCCTCATCACCAGGAAGCATGGATCCGGGTTTCTGGCCAATCAGGAAAACCGGGAGGCGGGTAATGACTCGTCGCCTGGCTTCCTGATTGGCCAGCTTCCCAAATCAATCAGGAAACTGGGCGGCGAGTCATTACACGCCGACGAGGGAGCATGGAGACGGCTTCCTCGGCCAATCAAGAAGCTGGACAGTGAGTCATC